CGGTTACAGAGTTTAATCCATTCCAGCACCGAGTTTGTCATGTGAAACACCAGTTTATTGACTAGCTGTAGGCGACCGAGAACCCACGCCCTGGAAGACACAGACACACACATAGTCAACGACAACTTGTTAAATGAGCGGAATCACGTCAATCAAAACGCATTTTCTGCGAGTGATCCCCTCGTTACCAGAAATTTTCGTAGATGGGGCTGCTGATCTCCCGAGGCTCCACTGTTATTCCAATATGCCTGCAATCAATTCATTACGCCTTAAAATTAGCAGGAAGTTGATAGTTATTTAATTGGAAGCAACTAATTTTGAGTCTTCTGCGTAACAAACGTGCGTCCTATTTTGCTCGGGGGTGTTAGTCCTTCATTTCTATGACTGACTTTCTAAATGCAGACCACATTGGTAGTTAGAAATGATCGCATAAGGAAACTGTGGTTGCTTACATATTCGAGAGCAAAGATAATGTCAACATTTTAAAATAGCCTCCAGTTGTTCGCAAGTTGTATTTTAGATAGAAAACTGATGTACTGCGTGAATAAAATGACAATCAAGCTCCAGATTGACTAAGTTTGTCAAACGATCATATTGAACATTGTGATTAACGCGCAAGAAAATAATAATCACGGGTAGTGAGCTGAACTGCTAAATTTTGACTGGCTTCAGAAGGGCGAATGCAGTTTAATTTGGTTCCAAGGGGCTTCATGATGGACACAGAAAACATGAGTGGCAGGCGGCCGTCTGTGTAAGCTGGAAAGCCAGCGCTGTCTCGAGGCGAATCGTAAATGTCCAACTTCGGTCTAAAACGAGGATGCAATTGCCCACGCAGCAAACACACATGGCTGGATATTCCTCAAGCCGTAGAAAAACATGGCGTGGTCATGTAATGTTTGATGATCATCTGGTTCGGATTCAAATTTCGTTCGTGAAGCCAATGCGGTTGGACTAGCAATGACTGATACATAAGTCATAAACAGTGGTTCAAGTGTCCCGGCCTTTGTTGTGAAGCGCCTTTTAATTATTGATCGCGAGTCGCTAGGCTTCCGTCCAGGTGAGGGCTGTATGATGTCAGTTCTATTTCCGCCCCTTTCACCAGGATAAATCCGGTACACGTGACTCTCATGTGATCAACTACTGTCCAGCTCAGCTGAAGGGACTTGGGTCCGTTAGTGATATGGCGAGGACGTTGCTTCGTGAGCGGCTGCTGCGGTATGCAACTCGGCAAATATGCCGAAAACGACTG